TAAGCCCTTAAACTCCAGAAACTTAACCTGGACCCAGAGCCAGACGCCTTGACCTCAAAGCAGGAACCCAGAATTCTGCTCACCGCGGCGAGCTAGGGTTTGGGGCTCAAAGGTAGGTTACGGGTCGGCAAGACTAGGCTACGGTAGACCTTTAAGGTTCCAAGATGCTGATGTCCTGTAATTATTCTTAAACTTCGGGCTTTCGTCCCACAAAGCCCCGAAACAATCCAACAGCTGTGGGGATCAAAGGTGGAGCCTCATAACATCGAGACCTAGGCTCTTAATGCCACGATAACGACGACGGCTTGCAAACCCTCCGTCCGGAACGCCCGACCTGGAACCTAGACGGTAAGCATTCCCATGTAGTCCCATCAATTTTTCGCGGCACGTCTGTCCTCTGACTGTCGTAAGTACGCGCCCTCGCGCCGCCATCCTTGTCCCGGAGACATCGGCACAGCGAACTGATGTTTCCATGAACCGCTGAGTCTGAACATGGTCTCGGGAGCCAATCATTACCATGAGTTCATCGTACACTGGGGTCCCAGTTGCTGGTTTATCCTGGCCTTGGCGAGTGAAACCCAAAACCCCCCTGGGGTTTCGACACACAGGGGGGTTTGGGGTATCCCACTTAGGGTCGAGGTTTAAGTCTCTGGAAAGGGAAAGCAGCACCACGTAGTAGCAAGAGCTGATTAATGCGACCTGCTGGGTGACCAGGTCCTTCACTCCGGCCCAAAGCTCAAATCTGAACTTGAAAAATGTCCGGTTAGGGTTTAGGGTTTAGGGTAGAGCGAAAGAACTCTGAAAGCCCCAGCCCCATGCAAAGCACCTCAGACACTGACACTAGCTCGCGTACACACGAAGTCCCAAACCCGAGACCCAGAAGCCATCATGCTCGCATAGGGCTATTCTCAAGAATATCAGCTTTTGATTTTTTGAAGGCCTATATATACTACCATGCAAGCCAATATAACGAGAGCTGACGAGCAAGTTCTGAAAGTGAACAACTCCCGATTGAACTACATGAGAAGATGCGGACGCTCCGGATGGCTGCGGAACTGACCGAGTGGACGCGCTTTGGGCTTTCGGGCAACGGGTTCTTGCTTGTGCTTGCAGGTTGGGGGGGTTCAACTCTGATGAATTCTTCATAGGGATTGCAGCGCCTGGGCATCTGTGTGGTTGTGACTGATGGCTGTGGTACCGAAATCCCGTCCTTCTAGGGTTTAAACTGCTCGGACTTGCGGGGCGTACTAGGAGGAACACGTATGACAGTTTTGCTACTCCTTGCTCCTTTGGACTCCGTTGTGTCGCAGACAACCTTAATGTGTGAGCAATGCGAACCCGTTGCCCTGTGCTCACGGACGCGGAGGTGCTGGCAGGCGTCTTCCACACGTGCCAACTGCACTTTTGTCCAGTTGAGCAGCGACTGTCAGCAATCTGACCCGTACAATCATCAAACAAACCCGTCGAGAGCTCCGAACTTTTGATGGAACTTTCACACTATTCGAAGCTTTGCCTGGCACCTCATTACAAACACAAAACCAATGGATCCCTCCTTAAGCATGCCCTGATATTGGGTGGATTCTGCATACGGTCCTTGGGCCTGTTTTCAATTTTTGATCCCTGAATCGTTAACGTTTAAGCTCCTATACTTTCGCCTGCCGAAACCCCGGACCACCTCGAAGTCTTCCCCGAGATGGTCGACGATAACACAAACCGCCCCCCCCCGGCTTCAAGTCAGAAGCTGCTCCAGGTGTACAGTTCAGGATGGCGGTTGCTTTTAAGGTTTCGGGCTCATGCAGTTCCATCTGGGAAACAGGTGCCCGAGATTTCAAGCTGTCCAAAAAGAAACGCATACGTTCAGATTCGGCTTGCAGTTCCAACACCCGAATAATGTTGAACAACTTCGGATCCCTGCACACTTACTCGCCGAGTCGCTACCCAGGTGACTATCCAAGGAGTGCGCGGCGGCACTGTCACTGAAAGGAAGTCGTGGGTCAGTCACAAAACTGCATATAGCGACCTTTACGATGCGATACTATGAGATCCTACACAATGGATCCAGGGGAACCATTGTAACTATTGGATCATCTACGTTGAATGTGTAGGTAGACTAACACTCTGTGAGGACAGGTCGGTGCACCAAAACGAAAAATTCTTGTGCCATATCTTTGGGAGCAATTGACCCAATGACTTCGGAAAGCATGCACTAGGTGCTGACTTCACGCACCTTTACTAATTGGCGCAACACGATGAGGGACTGGACTGAAGCCAAAACCGTAAGTACTGATCAAAGAATAAGTTCGAAAACCGGAAACACGCTGCCACGGAACAGCCGAAAACTTGCCGGTTTGAACCATACAAATGCCAAAAACCAACCCAGAAGTGGAGCTTCAGGAATGACGTAAACCTAAATCCTCAGCACCCTGAAGGTACCGTTGGGGGCCTGCATCGTCTAGTACAAAGATACAGAGAGAGGCTTCGATATTACATATGTCCAGCCCCCCGAAGCTTCTCTGTTGAGAAACGGCGGTTTGACTGTGTGTCCCTCCGTGGGGCCCGCGGGAAGCATTCCCAGGTGCAGGACAGCATGGATTTATAGGGCTTCCGGTCTCATATGAATCCCTACTTGAGCTTTGCAATAGGGAACACTGAAACCCTACAAGCAGCCGTATATGTAGAAAGACCATGCAATACCCTCGTAGTTGCCGCCTTGCCCTGCTATGAGGGTTCCAGAAAATGATCTTAAGATGAGGATAGCAAAAACTATCCTCAGCATCATCATCAGCGTCATCATAGTAGTAGTTCAAGTATACGAAGACTATGACTCAGAGTGGATACCAGCAGAAATACCAGATGCTAGAATCTAAGCTCGAAGGGATCGACCAGACCTAGTTACTAAAACGGGGGCCTATAGTAACAACGGAAGACGGCTTGGGACAATGTATATTATGGCTATAGACACATCTAGCACAGGATACCCAAGGAATCCAGAACACTGTTGCCAATTTATTGAGACCCCTATACTAGGTTCAGACGCTGAGCGAGAAGCAAACGTCCTTCTGCGGCACAGTGTTCCTAGCGAGCCCTTAATGGCCCAGTTTCACGGTAGGACTACATCTCGCTGAAGCCTATTGCGCTGTGAGCATTTGTCAGCAAGCCATCTGCTCGGGCCCTGACATCTCTCAAACCGAGTCGCTGGTGCACAGCACCGCGCGAAGATCCTTCCTCACTTTCGCCCTGAGCCCTGTTCGTGGTCTCCAAAGCTGAAGTAGACCGTACACCACGCCAGCCCGGGGTGCTCGCACCAGCAATTCCTGCTGTCGGATTGGGGTGCCGCAATCTCTCTTCCTCTCGTCAAGCTCGCTCTCTCTCTGTCTGTCTCTCTCNNTCTCTCTCTCTCTCTCTTTTCCTGTCTCTTTTCCAGGGCCGCTTAAGGACTGTTCTTCTCTATCTCATTTGGAGCCCTTTTGACTGTGGCGTCCTGTCTGTCTCTGCCCGCTTTCGTTCTGTCTCTGTCTCTCCTGTTCTCCTCCGATGGACATGACTCTCCGGAGCGCCCGACTGAACCCGATCGTCCTCCTTGTCTGTGTCAGTCTTGCTTCTTCTCTCCATTTTGTTGAACCCGGAGCGCTATCGAATCGCTCTCCATTGAACCCTAAACTCTAAACCCAGACTGTCTTGCCTCCTTGTCATTCTTTGGTGTGCGAGAAATTCTAGCGCACAGCGAGTTACTAAGAGGACAGAGCAGGTTACAGCCACATGCGCTCAAGAGGCCCCATGTAACCCCAAGCCCCCCCCCAAAAAAAAAAAAACAGTCCTCCAATCAACAGCGAGACCATCCACAAACTTAGTTTCAGATTCAAACCCTTAACTTAAACCCATACCCAACACTCTAACCCCTTTTTGAGCCCTGGCTCTGATCATCACACTCAAATCAAACCCCTAAGCCCCGAACCCCGAGCTGCCTCTTAAACCTGCCTTGTTCTTCGAGCTACGGCGCACTCTCGGGATTTCGGGCTTGGGCCTTACGGGGATGGCGGACCCGCCTTTCGGCATTTCCCGTTCAGTTCATGTAGGAATGTGATTTCCGCATTTAGGGTTTCATTGCTTACCGGGTTCGTCGGGGGCTTCGGGTTAGACTGACAGTCAGACTGCAGACGTGGGAAGAGGTATTTGCCAGGTGGGGGCTGGAAGCGCACCGGCATTGCGGGCTGTAGGCGGAGTCGAAGACGAAGTCGCAAAGGGATCCCACAGCTAAGCCTTACATAGGTCTTACCCGGGCCAGGCTACTAGCAGTTCTTTCCCGTATCAAGGAGCCATTGACAACCTGGTCAGAGCCTTAACCCCTATATCCCAAACCCCTAATTTTAAGCATGAACGCCAAACTCTAAATCCCAATAAAACTCCGCAGGGTCAGGGCATCCGGGCCTGTAGGCCCTAAGAGAGACATTCCAGCAGCTGCGAAACTGTCCCTGACTTGTGTCAGAGTCGGAAGATGCCCGGCTGCTGAGGCGCCTAAACCCTAAAGCACAAGCCTCCAAGCACTTGGCCTTCACCCCAAAACTCATCCCAGAACAAGGTTTGCAGGCTCTAGAAACACGTACACACATTGCAAAGGGTTCTCGTCACAATGAAACCCTGTCAGCAGTTCCGTGCCGGTCATGCCGGCCGGAACATGACAGTTTCTCAGTCTGAGCAGATCAAGAACAGGAAGACCGTGAGCCCACACCTAAAACCATGAGCCATGAACCCTCACGACGCGCTCATAACCCTAAATCCGGAATCAGGCTTGATAGGTCCGAGGGGTCAAACTAGTGCTCATGACTCCAAGATCGTGTGCTTCATCTGGGGGGTATCGGGGTTGAGGTTCATTCTGGCTTTTCGCATTTGATGAGTGTTTAAGGTGAGGTTGGGGGGTTAGGGATGCAAGGTTTATTGATGAGGGTTTAGGTCTTTGGCAGCACCGGGCGAGTGCCGCTGGGCGTGAGTCGCTCTTCGCCTCACGCGATGTCGGCCCAGAATAGGTCGGACTTGAAGTAGATCTTGTGGCAAGCCTTAGGGTGACTGCCCGCTGGTCGTAGGGGAGACAGGTCATTCCACAAACACATCGATAGCCATCGAGACTTACATATTTCAATGGGGATTTCGGATAAGAGTTTGCATCCAGGCCTTTTCAACTGCCGGGCGCGTCACAAATGACAAATGCCATTTCCCCACCACAGGCTCAACTAGCTAGGAAGCATGTTCAAGGACTTAACGGAAAAGCTGCAAAGACACTGTCAATAGTCACTTAACCCGGTCAGTTCATCCAAGCCTGGTGTGGAACCATCTCAAACCAAAAGTGGACGCCTTAAACCAACACCCAAAGCCCTAGGCCCTCAGACCCGAAACAAACCAACTACTCCACCATAGGAACACCAAACCAACCCTGAGCCGATAAACCCTAAAGTCTTGGACCGCTGACAAAGCAGAACCTGAAACATGAAGGACAGTTTGCACATGAACCCCTTTACCGATCAAAAGACAAAGCCTCCCCAACTAGGACGCCAAGCGTCCAAGCACCTTACTAGTAGGACTTACCCCTGGACAAATTCTCTGTGCCTGGGCCTGGGTAGGGAACGGATAACGCCCCCAAGCTTTGAAGCCTGTTCTGCTTCTAAGCTGCCGTCTCCCTCTTCTTGCACACCTCCAAAGGAGGATCTCGGGGTCAGATTTTGCAAGTCGGGCCTCCATTCTCTGACGCTTTCACCAGATCCTGAGCCTGCATCCTGTTGCCAGGATAGCCCTCGAAGTGTGGAGCCTAGGTAGCCTTCAACCCCTGCAGCCCTGTATACCTGTGTCTTGTACCCTAAACCCTAAACCCTAATATCCTATGTCTCCCCACCGCAGGCCTGGCGCATGCGGCGATTTCGAATGGAGGCCGTGCCCTCTACCGGAAGCTCGAGACGGACCACAGCATAGCGGAGAACCTTGCTTCTCGGTTTTGGGGCTCCCGGTACCGTAGCGTGGGTGGGGCTGAATCCAGATGCCTGAACTTTCTTTAATCTATGGGAGATTCGGGAAAGGCTTCAGAAGTTTGGGAAGGTTTGAAACTCAGAGCTGGAGTGGAGCTCCAAAACTTACGGAAAAGACCTTTCCCATCTCAACCCAACTTTGCATCTCACAGCAAATCGTCTATGGGCCTTGTGGCGATCACAGAAGAAAGATTCAGCCCCGCTCAAAGCTGAGACGAAGCCAATCAAAAGACCGGAGATATTTAATAGTCACCAACCCCCAAACCTTGAGAATTCATGGGTCCTTTTGGTTTTGGACCCCCTCGACCCGAAAACCCCCACAAAGCCTGAGCCATGAGTCAAACCCTGATCCTCGATGTCAAGCCGTCTTTTGAGGAGTAGCTGCAGTGCTCCAAGCTTCAGCTCTCGTGGCTCAACGCTCCCAAACCAGTGCTTTTTTTGCGCACCCCAGGCTGAGGCACAACTTGGACAGCACTAACCTTACAATAATGCTTCACATACAGATCTTTGGCAGTATCATACAGCTGTGGCTGGACCTCAGAAAACACGACGTCCTCGAGCGGAACTGGAATGACAACCAGGAGCCAATCATTGTGTCAAACCCTGAAAAGCCTAAACTCTGATGCCCTATTCCTACATGCAAAAAATCCTCAACTTCGAACTCCAACCCTACACAACACATTTATCATCAATCTCTCAAGCCCGACATTCTAAACACAGCCAGTCTGAGCTCCGAAATCTCAAACTCCTCGCAAAACGGTCTGGGACATCCAAGTCACAGCGCCCAGGACTGTATCGAAGGCCATCTCCACCCGTTCCAGACCCTGAGCAAGAAACCCTTGAGGGCTCTTACCCCAAGGGTCCAATGTACCTATATAGTAGAATGTAGGGTTTCTATATTCGGAATTACCATTATGATTTAGGGATGTATCCCCCATAACAGTACATAGGACCCTTTGGGTTAGGGTTTAGGGTTTCGGGTTTAGGGCCTCGTAAGCAGCTTCTGGCTCAAGGTCTAGGGCTCAGGGACTAGGAATCCCAGGGATGGGGGGTGCAGTTACAAATCAAAAACCCTGACCTCGCAGCCCTTTACCCCGGGAGCCTACGTCACGAATGCCTGACCGGGCTGTGCCTTTGGAGGGAGCCGAGTCCAAAAACCGAAAGCCCAATCGGCTTCTGTGAGCAGGGGGCTGCAAAGCTAACCCCGGATCCCCTTAGCTAAGCTCCGGACGCTAGCTCGAAACCCTAAAACTCGCCACACCCGTGCAGCGTCTTAGGAGGCACCCCGAAGTCTAAAGCCTGACTTTTACATTTTAACTTTAAACCTCAAGGCATAAATCCTAACTACGCCTGATACCTAAACACCTAACCCGCCTCTGCAAGTTGCTTCTCAAGCGGCTTTCTCGCCTCCCAAATATCGTTAAACCCAAACTCTGCACTTCCTGTATAAGTCCTATGTACACCCTATGACATGAGTCCTGGGCTTTGTATACCCCATACAAACACTCCAGAAGCCCCGGTAATACCAGGCCTAGGAATTCTCTGTAGCTGAGACTTATATAAGCCTCAATCACATAACCGAAACATCCCACATAAGTATAACATTGCAAAGGCTGCATATATATCTGTTTATATATATATATATATATTATACGTATGTATGTGTATATATATATATATATATATATACAGAAGAGGAGGCCGTGGGGCCTGCGTGTTTGCAACCCACCATGTTCAGTGGTTGTGTATGTTTCGACT